CTCTTGATTAGCAATGTTTGTTTAGTATTGGGACGCTATGAGAGGAAGACGATAAGCTGAGAGTAGAAGGGAGGAGGAGGAGAAGGGAGGTGAAGAGAGGACAGACGGGGAAGAATGGAAAGCTGGCGAAGAGAAGAAGCAGGGTGAAGTGAGAATGAACGTTATAGTAATCATTTCTTTTCTGGAGAAATGGGCTGAGGCAGAATAGATTGGTGTCAAAGGAAAGGAGCGAGGCGAAGGGAAAGTTAATGTAGCTGTTAGGAGAGAGACAAGTAAGGTGGTTTCTCTGCCACAGGGACACACTGTGCACGTCTGAGGTCCCGGTGGGAGGACGCCGAAAGGAAAACACAAGGCCAATCAGCTAACAGAGACATTTCCTGTGCTTGTTTTATCAGATGAGAAGAAGCCCAAAGGCTAAATGTCCCTCTCAACAGTTTTGTACACTTCTCAGAATAACCCGCTTTGGGGAACGAAGGGGAGAACATGCATCTTTGTTGGATGACATCAGAAGCAATGCTTAGGAGCACTGACCTCACTCTCGCACAATCAATCATCCACAAAAACCCCAAGAAATGTAGACCACGTGAGTAAGAGAAGAGGTTTTACCTTTTAAGATATAAAGCAAGGCTGCCTCATGAATTAAATCATCACCCACTTAAAAAAAAGATTTAGTTAGGGGGAAAGGAATACAATTGTGTTTTTTATAGCCATGAAACTTCTGATGGAGCTTGGCATCTGGCAACTAGCAGATGGCGGACCAATATGCCAATTACCAACACTGACATGCCATACTGCCTATTAGGCAATCTGGCCTTGAGTGATAGCACTTTAAAGTCAGAAAATGACACGAGCGAGAGGCTGATCTAACAAACCCTCTTTATCAGAGTGTGACTAAAGCCCAGAGGAATTCAAACACAGGTCTGTCACGCCCACATGACTGCTTCAGTCAGGAGAATCGAAGTTTGGGAAATAGTTTGCAAAGAAAGGACGTAAAGATAGGAAGAAGGATCACAGTGAAATTCTTTTTGCATGTAAAATGTATTTAATCTGTGGCTTGAAAATAGCTATGTAAATGTGGTTTGATTAAATAAGACTTCATTTGGTGGTAAATCTATTAAAGGCCAGCGTATGGGTCAACTAAAAGACGAAAAAAGAAATGAGAGTAGCATTCTCCATCACCCGAGAGACAACCAGAGTCTAACTGTGCAGTGAACAAATGGCAGATCATCCAAGAGCAGCGTGGATATTCCCCTACAGAACTGTTCCATGTCATCTTGGCTGCGTAACGAGGAACAACAAACAGGATATAAAGCTAAATTACACAGAGGGAAATTTCATGGCATGAGAGGTTGTTCTTTTTAAAATGGCAAATAACAGGAATTTTGAATTTACATCACAAACATCTGCAGAGCTCGTCCTGCATATTTTCCAGGACCTAAATAAACATCATCTAAGGTTTCATGCCCTTGTGTGACTTCACAAGCAATTAAGCAGCACTACCAGTTTTTGTCTACCACTTGCTGACCGTCGTTACTCAGTGAAGGAGTTAAGGATTCTTTTCCAACCCGAGATCTGCCCGTCCGTCCAAGCTCACCATATTATACAACTTAGTGTGCGGTTCTGGATGCAGCGCATTCAAATTACATGCTATCGAATTCAAAGGCGAGGGGGAACAGAACGAGTACACTGTGGGGCTCGAGTCCAGGACCAGAGTCCCATGAGCGCTAGCTGCATGTCAATCACAATCACTTCAAATGAGCTGAACCCTGTCCTACTCCTGCTGTTGTCCAGAAGACACAAACCTAAAACCTAAACTAACTTCATTCCAAGCAAGTGGTGGACACAGACGACAAGGACACCATTGATGAAACAGAGGGCAATCATTTTGCTTGCGGTTCTGCAGTCACGGTGGGGCTGCATCTCCATCTCAAACCATATTCTTAGAACAAAAAAAAAGTCTGCATAAAATTAAGCCATGGGGCAAAAAGTTCAGAACACAGGAAACATGCTTGACATAGTTTCACTGGTCCGTTATGAGAAGAAACCAGAAAATAGCTCTGGCACCTGCTGTGCAGAAACAATGTATGTTTGGACTGACGTGTCAGCATGTGATCACTGGAGGCCGAGCCACATTGGAAAAACCGTAATACTGAACACAGTATAGGTAAACATCTAATAAAAAGGAACTGAACAGTCTGATCATTTGTGTTAGAAAATTATCTTTGCCAGTTTTCCACTCTATTCAAATTCAGTTTGCCACTTGGTTGGCTGCCTTAGCTCAGTGGTGGTAAGAAACTATTGCCTTGCAGGGAAACTCTGGATTCTTGCTTTGGAACTTGATACTGTGCTGGATTATGAGCATCTAGGATCAAACTATAACAAAGCTCCCACATATACTACATACATGTAAACACATAACTGTACATGGACAGATTCATGAATGCTTCACGGTTTAGCAGATGTGGATTATGATGAGAACAAGGCACAATAATCACCTGATACAACATTTAACATTAATCAAGTGCATGAGAGAAGGGAGAAAAGGGAGGGAGTAGGAGAGGGAGCCAGCGTACAGTAACTAGAAGCCTTCACCGCACTGTGCAGTCCAGAGCCAGACTCCGGAAATGCATGGCAGTGTTCCCTACATCCTGCCCGCCCAGCCCTAACCTTGGCCCTGGCTCTCGCCCCACACTGCCAAACCCCTGTTATCACTCTGTGCAATTACCTCCAGATTCCTCTGCACCCATATCATATCATGCCAATTATAAAATCCCCTACTAAGTACACTACAAAGCACTACATGCATTTGACTGTAAAGCCTGTGGTTTTCTGTGTGTTTCAGCCTAGAGATAGCTGTGTGCAAATGTATGAGTTCAAGTGAACATACATGCAAAGACTGAAAAAAATCTTTGATTCTCAAATATATATACAATGGGCTCCAAAAGACTGAGACCACTTTGGGAAAGTGATCTATATAGCCGGCCGTAACACATTCACACAACATGTGTTGATTGATAGTGCATGAAAACTGGTTAGGAAGCGAGCAGAGAAGTTTAAACAGTTGTTTAAACACACGACTCTGCAGAGGGCTTTTAATTTGAAACAATGGATTAAGCAACACCCTGCCAAGGGCAAAGGGTTGAGAGAGAGAATGAAGAATAAAAAAAGAGAGGAGAGAGAAAGGCAGATGTTCATAGTCGGACTGGCTACCGGACATGCTAGCCTTCGGGCTGCCACATCGGTGGGCCAGTGACCACTTTTTGTCTCCAAATGAGGAAACAGAATATTCACAGTTCGCATAATCCAGTTAAAATGCAAGAGAACCAATGAAAATAAATGGAATGGTCAAAATTGTCAAATTGACATTTAAAGTGTATTGATTGAATCACGACGTCAACTCATCTACTCATAAAGCCAGTGTGGGGTTGTTTGGTCAGTATTGTGTATACATGTATGTAAACTAGGAACAGTGGTCACATAACCCTTGAGACAAACCACAACTTAACTGTGAATGTGCACGCATGTACCATATAGGTGCCGATGGTTTAAATAGTTAGCTAAACATAATGGATAATTGGCAGGGAGCAGGAGTTGAAATGAACACATCTGGAACATGACAACGGTTGCATTGAAGGGGTACTTAGCTCATCTGACAGGGCTGTGGTGGTACATCGGACAAAAACATTGTGAAGCACTGTATGAGAGGATTGTCATGCATTGCATTCCAGAGGCTATTCCAATCATCTGTCACCAGGTTGGGCCTGCGCCTTATAAGGAGTGGAGGGCATTCTCCACGTGTTTTCCAAACACTGCACAAGTTATCAGATACAGTTTCATGGACAATTACTATGCTGTCTCTAGCCTGAAAGCATTTTTTTTTTTTTTTTAAAAAAAAGAAGAGAACCTACAGATCTACCCTCTGCAGCTCCCTCCCTCCACCCTCTTCCATTTTCCATGCTTCCATTTCACAGATGCTACTATGTAATAAAGCTGAGATCAAAAGACTTGCTGTCCAACTCAACTACAATGAGAGTTGAAGAGTCTCTTTCGCCTCAGGGGTAGTGGGATTACAAAGAATGTGATACCTTGAAATGATGAGAAGTGGATTCATCTGCGAATGAGCAGGCCTACCTTTTGCAAGCCTACGCTATGACTTTGTCTGCAAAAGATGCTGGATGTGTAAAGTTCATCCACCAAAGGACAACTGTAATCAGTAACTGGGCACAATCACAGTCAGATTTGATCTTTGAGGGGCATGTGGTGTGCTGGTAGGCATATGAAGCCCATCCTTGCCTTTAGCCAACTCTGTACACTTTCCACATGTCAAATTTCAACAAGTTTATATCCACATTCTGCTGTTATGGGTCAAAAACACAGCTTTCCTTTAGAGTTTGGGGGATGCTATTGACAAAGGATGTAATAAAAAGAGAAAAACTATACGTGTCTCTCAAATCTTCTATTCCAGTCCAAAAAAGTTGTTTCAGGCAGTGCTCAGTGCCATGTCGGCTGCTGAGGCTATGAGAAACTTGGCAGGCCAGGGGCTTGGAGTCCAGTCCCCCCCCCCCCCCCCCGCTCCTTCATACTTTGTTCGATAAGAATCTGAAAGAGTGCGCGCGCCTTACAGGAGTGGACGGAGGCTATGCTTTTTCTTTGTGTAATCCCGCGGTTAACAAAACATTTACATGACAGCATCACTGCTCGAGCTATAGAAAAGTTTGTTATACCTCGCAACCGTGAGTTAACTTCGCTCTCAGTTCACTGCTGGCGTGGAAAGCGCACAAAAGAGGGAGCGGCAATGTGTTGAGAAAAGTATCAGCAGCAGCAGCAGCAGCAGCAGCAGCCCATGCGCACAGTGGAGACCCGGAATGTGATAATCTCCCATCGTCAAATACATCGTATTTTACTTTTGCTAGAGCATCAGTGGGTCATGAACTCTCTTCCTGAGAGCGTGTATAAAACTGTAAGAGTTTGCAGAGTGTGCAGGCAGTATTTGCGCTTACCTGTGGATCTTAACCGGACAAAGTAGAGCTCTTGAGTCGAGTGAGAGGAGAGGAGAGAGAGCCAGTCTGCAGTCAGTCCGCCACAACACTCAATGATAAAACCAAACTGAATACCCGTTCAAGCCCCTCCCTTTAAGATATAATCGCTCATCTACTCTTGGCCGAGTTGTCCGCTCCAGTCTGCTCTCGAAACGCTAAGCTACAGCTCAGACTTCACTCTCAAAGCATTTTACTAAGCCTGTCTGAGTCCGAAATGAAAAATGAAATGTGTCAACTCCGCGAAGAACCCGTGCAACACTCCCAGCAGCTACAGTGACTTCATAGACAGAAAGTGCCCTTTCTGGTTATCCTTCGGGGGGCCTCTGAAAGAAAATCAACTGTCAGGAGTGATCATGTGAAATGTTAATCTTGGACAAAAAGGAGGGCTGGTTGTTCACAAGCAGACCAGTAGGCCTGAACGGTGGCAACTTCATAAAAGAGGTGCAGTTGACCTCAAGTAACCACCACCACTATTATCAATATTATAATATTACATTTCACTTAAAAGAAACACAGACTATGCTAACATGTAGCCCCAGTTTTGCCTTTAATATACTTTTAAGTCACAAGGCTCTCTGGCTTCTGAATCTTCTAACAACACTTACAGCTATTCTGAAGTTAAGACTCTTCCCGCTGGACAAAAAAAAAGTCAGAGGAATGATTAAAAAGACTTTCAACCTGTTTCCCCTAGTTCCTCATTTTCTAATCCAAACAAGTGGCAGCAGTAGTTGCTAGCTCATTTATTTTGAGTTATATTGATATTACTTTACAATATTTTATATTTGTGTATGAAATAACTTGTTTATATTGTTGTTATATTTCTTGTGTTTCGTCTACAGCCATGCTAGCAGTTCTGTGAGGCTGTATACAGCATTTAGCATTTAGTTTTGGAACTAAATTATTTTTTTCATTTTTGCTAAATGCTAATGTCATGCTCGCAATACAACATGCCAATGTGTAGCAAGTAATGTTCACCATGTTTACCATCTCTGTTTAGCGTGTTACCATGCTAACATTTGCACAAAAAATAAAGAATGTGTCATTTCTGGTTACCTAGAAAGGAAATGTAATTGCAACTTGAGAAACTGGTAAAAATCTTTTTGATGGAATATTTTTCATCCAGAAGACTTTGATGATTCTGGAAATACCTTCAGAACATGTTAAACAACCACCTGGGTTTTTCAAAGATGGATGGCCAGATATTTTTTGTTCTGAAAATATTTTTTTGTATTTTTTGGTCTAAAAGTAGTTAAACTTAAAAATACTGGAATCAGCCTCTAGAATACTCACAATAGTAGGGCTTTAAATATAAAATGGTTGCTAAATGCCCCAAATTTCCTGAAAAATATAGATGACATGAGTTCAGTATCATCAATTAAAGCTACATACCTGACTTTACTTTGAGCATCAATTTTTGACTTGACAATCATGCATCAAGCACCAGTTTCTCCATGTACTGCATATAAAGTTCTTTAAGGTAAAGGATACGGATAAAAGTGTGGTGTCATGTTTAGTCCCCTCTACCAAATGCACCCCTGATATTTGTGACCTTTTCTCTCTTTTGCTAAGGATGCAGGGAGTTTGGAGGTGACAAACACAATAGCTTCTGTGTTCTACTTTCTACTATGGAACAGCAGCATGTGGACACTACCCCGCTTTGTCTTCCCCTTTAAAACAATGATACTCAGAACAAAGAATGAACTTAAGAGCATTAGGCCACTGGTGCAGAAATGAGCACCATATGCGCTGGTGTTCTTTATACATGTGTTTTCTTTAAGATAAAGCGAAATAAATGCAGTCTGTTGATTGTGTATGTGCAATGTGTGTAAGTGTGTGGTGTGCATGTGCCTGTTGTATGTGTGTATGTGACAAAACGGGACACACACACACACACACACACACACACACACACACACTCATCCTGCTCAACAAATTAAATGGTTTCTTTTTATCCTTTTAATAAATATGTATTTCAAGATAAACTTGTCATCCTTCATTTTGCAGGTTTCTTTCAGACTTGAATACCTGATCCAGTTTGCACACAATATCTTGGCCCTTGAAACCCCCATTAACATGATCCAAAATCACTTCACGGCATAATTTGATTGCCAAAAAAGATGCCATAGCTGGGGCATGTTTAGAGTTAGTATAATGCTTCATACTTGATAGTCACTTGCTATATATACACATCATGAGCTCAGGTGTTTACCTCAGCAATGCTATAGTTTATGCTCAGCCTCCTCAGGGCTGAGGCTTTTCATGATGATTTAGCAATTGAATCCTGTGGTTGAAAAAAAGAGGCTTACTACACCTGAATGGACATAAGTCTTGGCCATATTAGTGCCAGCAGAGATAGCAGTGAACATATGGACACTGGTCCATGGTTATCTGGCAGCAAACCAAGTAGGAGACATTATGGCTCTTGGCTGTTTTGCTCTCTGTGAGCTGTTCGCAGCTGCTGTCAGAGATGCACAGATCAGCCTCAGGTCAGAGAGATTCGTATTGCCAAAACTACCTGACATATATATCTTCAAAACGTTACATCAGATGAAACACCTCAGAGCAAGTTAGAAAGGTTTAACACCGCATTGCTTTTAACAAACCTTTGACGTTTTCCCATTTCATTATATTGTTTTAGATGAGATGAAAGACTGTGATGCCATATTGTGTGAAACTGACATTAGAGGTGAGGATAGGACATGCCTTCAAAGTTGTATTCAGTTGTAGAAAAGTGTTATTGTTAAGGATGAAAGCCCCATGTGTTATTCTGTAACAGAATTATCACAGTGTAATAAAACATAACAACTCAAAACCAGGACAGTTTTAAATAGAATCAGATCTCCCTGTTTAAGAATAAAGTAAAAGTCATCAATGTGAGATATCAACTTGAAATGCAGTAACAGATACTTCAACCTTACTCAGACTGTGTATGTATGATGGATGATTGGTATCCAGGATGTCTCGGTAGCTCAGCTGGTTGATGTGCATACCAAACACCTGCAGTGTCCTGGGTATAATCCAGGACTTTTATCACTGATCTTTCTCCTTCCTCTGTCTCTCTATTGTGTGATGTTAAACACAAAAATGTAAACAAAGGATAGACACCTGCAGCAGAAAACATCTGGACTCTTTCCCTAGTGTAAGGTTCCTGCTTGAGTTAATATTGACAACTGCCCTGCCACATTCCATGCACAAAAAAACAACATTATCACAACAATGTCACATTCTCTGGCTGTACCCCTCCACAAATGACCTGTTTTAAGTATTCTGAAATGATGGAATATCACTACACAGATAACAGTAAATTGGCTAAGATGACATTGGTACCACACCCATGAGAAGGATGAAAAATTACATTAAAAAAGTTTTAAAATAAACAAATAAATGTAAGAGTCATGCTAGTAGCCTACTGAAGCACAGTGGTGGTTTCAGCTAAATGCTAACATCAGCATGCTAACTGATGGGGAAAAGTATTGGACAAATTAACATATTAATCTAACAATGGCAAAGGATGAAAGATTAAAGGATCACCAGAGTTAAGATAATTATTCTTAAGGAGAGCATGAATGCCAAATTTCACGGCAATTCATCCAATAGTTGTTGAGACGTTTTACTACAAAATCACAAATGTCAGCCTCATAGTGGCGCTATATATTCCTTTATAGGGAAAGTCAAGAGATCACTGAAGTCTTTAGAATTCATCCCCCTAGGAACCCTGAATGTCTGCACAAGATTTCATGTTAATCCATCCAGCAGTTGTTAAGATATTTCACAAAAAACTAAAATCTCAGCTACTGGTGCTATAGAGTAGAAGTTGGGGCATCACCAAAGAATGTCCGCACCAAATTTCATGGCAATTTATTCAATCATTTTTCAGATATTCGGGACCAACATTACTGTGTAATGCACATCAGTTTAATATATGACAGCATTAGATCAAGGTGGATTGACAGTATATATGTGGATCACCAGAAGAGTAACTGTTACATGAAATCCGAGCCTCTCCTGTTAATGTGCATGATGGAAACGAATCCTCTCCCTGCACTAAGCCCTCTGACCTCCTTGCACGGCTAATACCATTATATAAAATGATTTATAATGATCAATTACATGTAGCGTGCAGGAGGCTCAAGGAGGGATTAAAAGCCTTGCTTTGACCCACCTGGCTCAAGTTCTAACTCTTTCACATGTTCAAGGTCCCTGGGATGTGTCCCTGGGGGACTCCGTCACACTGGCTATAAGTCTAACCAAAGCAAACACAGAATCCCCTGTTTGTTGACTTTTTATGAAATGTTGAATCTAGTCAGGAAAATATGAGAGTTTGTCAAAAAAAAAATTGGCTTAGTGCCGTTATGTGAAGAATGTGGTTTAAAGGTAAGAACTCTTTCATGTCGCGTTTCATGACATCAAAGTAGCTCTGAACTGAATTCCCAAGAGCTGGCGTAGAGCATAAAACTACATACATGAAGAGAAATGTTTTTCCATCATTCTGTCATTATTCTAGAAAAGATTTGCCTCTATTTCTTTCTTTCTTTCTTTTTTTTTGAGAAGACATATAGCATCTGGCTTTCTGCATTATTAAGAACCCATAACCTAAACCCACAGTCAGGTGCAAGAGCATTTCAAACACACCAAGTGTACCAAGGAAGAACTGGTAAAAAAGAAAGAAAAAAAACACATTTGCCCACAGATGAGCTGACATAGCTGGTATGTCTCTTCCAGGCCATCTGGTAACTGCTCTCACCAGGCTGTAACCATTACCAAGCTCACTCATGACCAAAATCCACCTCTAGCATCCAACAATGGATCTTTGCCACGTTGTCAGTGGCTATTTTCCTGCCACATTAATTGCAAAGCACCACTTGAACGGTTGCTTTTCATTATGTGGGAAATATTCAGGTCTGAATAAGTTTACTCTTTATAAAAAAAGCGATGACCACTGGAAAATATCAGTTTTCTTATTTGCTAAAAAACTGGATGTAATACACATATCCCATGTGAAAAGGTGTGTTTGTAGAATCCTGGCTTTGATTCATAGTAAAGAAAGAGGGGTGAGTAAGAGAGAGATGTCACTGAGGTTATTAAGTGGGCACCTCCCATCACAGATGTTTAAGTGAATCATTCCCATGACACCTCTGCAAAGCTCCTATGAAATCCCAGCACAGCCACATCAACAAACATAAAGAGATAAATATATGGAT